TTGGATCTCAGTGAACTGCATATGTGCAATTTCTTTTAATTGGAGAGCTAAATGGAATTCATCATCACTTTACTGTTACGTTCTAATTTAGTCTCTCAGTATGTAGTCATCACTTTACTGAAGGTTCCAATGATCCTGCGTTATTTAGATGACATATCTGCAGACGACGGTTATTCAGGTTTGCTTTGAATGCAGGTAGACTGGACACCTGAACTACACAAAAAGTTTGTACAAGCAGTAGAGCAACTTGGCGTGGATCAGGCGATCCCTTCCCGGATATTAGAAATAATGAAAGTGGAAGGTTTAACTAGACATAACATAGCAAGTCATCTCCAGGTGAGTCACTGTGGCTTTTCTTTTTCTTTTCCTCTTTCATGGTTGAAGTAATTTTGTAATCGTAATCTTAAATATCAATTGGTAAGGATTAACATTAAGTCTACACGCTGAAACACAAAGATTAAGTAACCTGATGTCAAATGATACATATTTATTAAAGGTTTACTTGCCTTTTTATTTTTGATTAAACAAGAGGAAGAATAAATGACGAAATTAATAGAAATCTATTTATCAAAGTCATAATGATTGAGAAGAAGAAGTATATCTGCACGTAGATGCCATCCATTATAATTGCATCCTTTCACACGATGGATTTTATGACTTGGAATGGCATATCAATGAATTTGTACAAGGATGAAGGAACCAACCGAAAATAACATTAATTTTTATGTTACCTCAGTTGTTTTTGGGTGGAAAACTATTCTATTCTTGGTTTGGAATACTTATATAGAACGTGGCTAAAATTTTCTTACTGACGTATAAGTTTCTAAGGAGATAATTTAAGCAGAAATACAGAATGCATAGGCGGCACATTTTGCCAAAGGCGGATGACCGGAGGTGGCCTCATCCTAGAGATTCAGCACAAAGAAGTCATTATCTGCACAAACCTGTCATGGCATTTCCACAATTTCATTCTAGTCATGTTCACCCTGCTGGTCATGCCTATCCTGCCTGGATGCCACCGGGAAGTTATCCGAGTCCTGTCCAAATGTGGGGTTCACCTTACTATTCTGGATGGCAACCTACAGAAAGTTGGCACTGGAAACCTTATTCTGGGGTACAATCAATTTCCGTTCAACTTAAAAGTGTACTTGTACCCTAATGTGTCCAATTGGTTGTATCTACGTGACTAAGCTGGGTTGCATGACTGACCTTATATTTGATAATTTTTATTATTTCAGATGCACGCCGATGCCTGGGGATGCCCTGTGATGCCATCGCCACAAGGATCATGTCTGCCTTTTCATCAGGTGAGTTTATTATTTCTTCATAAATCTATAAATTCAGCGTTAATTTTAAACTCTATGCGAGTCTGTGTGCTGGAGATGTGCCTAGTTCTTAAAAGACCTCGGTTACGTGATGCAGAATGCAGCTGGATTTCACAATGCTAATGAAATGCATAATAGAGTTGGCATGCCTTCATTTGATGCATACCCGGTAAGGTTATGTTATTTGGTTTCTTCAATTTATATACTCTCCCTCCCTGTGGCAAAGAAGCATCCTAGTAGATATAGATTTCCTTCTCTTCAGGTTATCAGCTATTCCAAACCTCCTAAGGGTATTTGACGGTATCTTGAAAGAAAAAGATACTAAAATTTTGTCCATTATACTGTCCCGTCCCATCCTGTCTATTACTTGGTTGCAAGTGTAGTCATTGTGTTTTATGGAACTTGCAAAACATTCCCAAGTTAAATAGTGGTTTAGTATGTAAATGTCTGAACCACATCACTTGTACAGAATGACACGAAAAGAATTCGTAAATAATACCTGTGTTTACGGATATTTATATCCCGCAAAAATTTCTATGACTTTATCGTAGGGCTTTTTGGATTTGACCAACCCAATCGAATGAGATGTGCAATTACCATTTAACAAGTCAGTAGTGCACTTTTATGGGATGACGATAATATAAATTTTTGGAGTCAATTTCTTTGATACGTTGGACGCATTAATTATTTATATTTTTTCAAATCATAAGTTCCTATTGCACACTGCAGGCAGAGGAGATAATTGACAAGATTGTTAAAGAGGCAATTGACAAGCCATGGCTGCCCCTCCCATTAGGCCTAAAGCCTCCTTCAACTGAGACTGTCCTAAATGAACTCTCCAAAAAAGGCATCAACTCCATCCCTCCTCGCATCAACGGCTCTCATTTACGCTGACGTGGCTCAATTTTCTGTCTTTGGTCCACCAGCAGGTGAGCAGACCAACCAATCAGACCCCAATTTGAGAACAGGAGTCAGATGTACAGAGATCCACTGTAGTGCTGCTCTTTTTCACTTATGGCAGAAAATGAGCCACGTACCATGGATACCAAATTGCGGTTGTAAATAAAAGTAGAGAAAATCCTAAACCCATCTATTTGTCGTATTGCAACATCGGATTTTTGCAGTAATTGGGTGCTCCATTTTGTGCTGTTGACACCCTTTTGGTGAATAATGATTTGCATTATTTTGGGCACTGTGGGGCTGAGATATAATGAATGGACCTCTGAATGAATGACACTTTTTCTGAATTTGGGATAAAGGTGTTTGCATTTATAAATCTTGGGTTCTTGCAAGTTTTTAGTTAAAAGGTTGAACTCCAACCTTAAGGGCCTCCACTAATCTGCCTCGAGCCATCATGGAGGAGGTAAATTTCAGGATGTGCCTTCCAGGAGTCAGGGTAAAGAGCACATGGATAGGTCAAGGCTGTTAACCCATATGGTAACTCCCGCTTGCAACAAAGCCAATTCCACCTTGCGGGGAATCGAACTCTGCACACTGCCACGCTGAGCCCTATCCGCCCTCTCCTTTGCCACTGGGAGATATGCCCTGGGGGCTCTTGCACGTTTTTAGTTTCATTCACGTTAAGATGGTTATTTATCATCGGTTGTGTTACAATATTGGTCTATGTGACATCAAATGTCATTAAATAAAATACATAATTAAATGAATCATATAATATCGACTATAGATTAAGCTCCTGTTTGTTTTTCATTCTTTCTCCATTAAATTAAAAAATATGACCGTTATTCATTATATCAAGTTACCAAAATTGAATATCTATTGAGGCTCATAACGGTTATATTTTTCATTATCATTTTTACAAAAATGGGAAACAAACGCCCCCTAAATAGCATTATTTTAAGATGACAAATTGACGGTTGGGGAATCCCTTTGTATGTTTATAGTTCTCTCAAATTCTCAATAACCCCATCCAACTCGAAGGAATTATTCAATATTAAGTCCCCGTGTAGCTAAAAAAATTAAGTTTTTAGTAAATTTTGATAAAAGTTAATGAAATGCGTGGTTGAAAAGTTGATGAAATGTGTAATTAAAATTATATGTTGATTTTGACTTAAAATTTTGATTTTAAGTTACACCAAACAGGAGCAAAGTTTGATCTTGAGCAGCTGGATTCTTTGAGATGCCCCAAGAGGTTTGATAAAGATATCAAATGTTTGCTCAAGAAAAAGAACCAAGGAACAAATCAAATGAGTAGCTCGATCTTTATTGCGACTAAAATGAAAATTCCATTTCTTTTAGCCCCAATTTGGTGTAGGTTAAACACAAAAGTTTAAGTAAATTCAATAATTTATTTTAATCACATATTTCATCATTCATAATTTTTCAATTTCAAATTTCATCAACACGTAACAAAATTTACTGAAAATATGTTTTCTAGCTACATCAAATGGGGTTTTGTACGGACATGGAAGACATGATTAGTGGCTAATGCATCAACTCTTTGATCATCACACCAGTTGGCAAAATTAAATTAGAACGAGATAAAAAGAAGCTAGGTATGTGATTGAAAATCTTTTCCTCTCTACATTGGTACTAACATGATGAAACAAATGTCTATTTTCAAGATACAAGGTGTCTTCCAAAATTAATATCTAAAACTCAAAAATAATTTGATAGTCATTTTGACAAAATTTGAAGAAGGAAGAAATTAAACATCAATTATTTAAATTGATTTTGAAATGAAGGAAATGGATTGAAATCGGCTCAATTTACAAATTAAATTTGTATTTTTCGAATATGTGCACCTTTTGACATAGATTAATTTGGATAATTAGATCTTGAGATACGATCTGATGGTGTAGATCGCACACTATACAAATGTTTATTATGTCTATTCATTATGCACCTCTTTGAATAATCATACCCAATCCGAAAAATCATAACTTTTCAACATGCACATGTTGCATTTGAAAAGTCGCTCTTAATCGTCTCACTCAATGAAGAATTTTTCTACCCCCTAAATAAAATCATTAAATTTCAACAACACCGAACAACTGGATGAAGTGAGAAAGATATCCCAAGTTCTTGAAGCAATTTCTTTATTCACGTAAGCTCATCAGTAACATTAGCCAATACTCAGTATTCACATCGAACTAGTCAATTATGCTTCTTAAAGCTCCGCAGTACTATGTTTGGCAAATCAAATTGCTATTTATACACATATTTTATGAGATCCAAGGATGGAGACAAGGGTTTTTTTTTTTTTTTTTTTTTCTGTAATGAACTGAAAAAACATTTTTTTAGCTCTAAAATTTTAAATGTTTATCTACTTGACAAACATTTGTTGGTGGAACAACAAACATCAGTACATGTGATGCCCCGAGCTCTATGGTCACTAGTGTGTCACGTATGCAGGGTAAGTAGACAAATTAGGAATAAGCCCATTGTACAAGGGATTCTTCTGGGGCAGTTTGATGGCAGTATGTGATTGATGTGTTAAAATTATTTGGAAAATGCTATGTGTACGTCATGAGACGTATACAATATATTACACCCCTCTCACATGAAGGAGGGCCTACGAATATTTTATTTTGTGTGGACTTCCCTCTATGTGAGGAGGGTGTAATGCTATGTGTACATAGCATTTTCCTATTTATATTTTGTTCAACCGTCAATGAAATTCTGCTAAATGTATATCTGAAAAAATCCCTACCAGTGTGGGTCCACAAGGCTCAGAAAGTGCAATTATAAATAAAAAATTAAGAAATAATACTAAACTTTGACTTTCCAAATCCTCTGTTGTGCGCTATTTTTCTCCTTCCACTCTTCAAGCGTGATAAAAGCATTTTCTTTCCTTTGTAAAATTATCGTAGAAGTGAGCGCGATCTGATTCTAAAGGAAATTGAACTGAACCAAGTACCAATAAAAATCTTAGAAATGAATCATTGATCCTATATCTAACTATAAAATCAAACCGAAACTAAACCAATCAGTTCCAATTCGATTCAATTCGATTCTTTATATTGAAAAAATTATAAAAATAAAGTATGAAACTATTTATAGATTGAAAACAAGAGAGAGAGAGAGAGAGAGAGAGAGAGCATGAAATTGCTTGTCATTCTTGTAATTTAACAATAAAAAAAATCAATTAAAAATACTTCAAACAAAAATCACTCCAAAACTAAATGTCAACCCATAAATGCCAAAAAAATGATAAACTATTAAGCATAACATAAACGGTAAAATTTCGATCAAAAATTCATATAACAATATATATTAAAATATATGTGCTAATACCCCATAGGCTAAGGAGCAAAAGGAAGAATCCGCACGAGGAGGGACTTGCGTCTTTCAAGTGGGGAGTGAATGAAAGTCGATATTGAAATCCTAGGTTCAAAAGCTGTAGTATTTATAACTTAATTATCTTTAGTAATATTTGAGAAACTTGATTCTTGATGGTCGACCATTTTAAAAATAACGAGAAATTTGAATCCTTATGAAATATTGAACTAAAAATATATTTTTCCTATTGAGTTACATTAAAACTATGAATTTGTAACGTATTTAAAAATTATATAGACTTGAATTTTGATTACCTATTAGGTTTTGCTACAGAAGAAAGGAGAAAAAGTTCCTGGAAAATAGAATTTTGATATGAGATAATTTTGGGATCTAGTATTAAAAGATGTGTGCATCTTGATGCAAGAAGAAAGAGAAATTTAGGATGACTGAATACACTACTGATTTTTATGCAGTATTGAGTATCGTACTGAACTGATCGATTCTCGGTGCATAGTACCAAAATTGATCTATTTAGTAGAATAATCGAAATCAAACCAAACCAATCGATTCTACTTGGTTTTGATTTCGGGAAAAAAGTCTACCTTTAAAAATTCTTGTGATTTTATTCTTGTTGTTATATCAGGTGTCCAGGTAACGTTAAAAGGGATGTCAGATCATATTTCCTTCGTATATGTAGCGCATCCGTTAGTAATTTTGGACGAAATTTCTTTTTGAGACTAATGAGTTTAAGACTCAAAGGACTACGGAATTTCGATTTTATATTTAGGAACTTTTTTGCACACAACTAAAATTTTAGGGACCATTCATGTTTTTCACCTGGTGAGAAATTATACGAGGTACCTAGAATTCATATTAAATGAACAATATGCTTCCTAACCTCATTTCACCATGTGAAAGCGAACTATGACGAATTGACTCTACAATGGCCTCTATTTCTTCCTTTGAGTCGAAATTTAGAATATTATTCATCAAATTCAAGGGTATTTAGCAATGTTTTAAAAAACATAAAGCGTAGTTAGACGTGGAGGCCAAATTTCAAACTTTCTAGATGTAAAAAAATTATTTTCTTATATTTTAATATTATTTTAGATTTTCAATCATTCTAAAGATTCTATAATAATTAAGATAATACCAACCAAATATTTAAAATTATAAAATGCTACATGTACTTAATAATTATTACAATTAGTAAATTATACAATTTCCAAGTTTTCAAAATGCAAGAATAGACTATTTTCATAATTTTAATTTTCAACTAAACAAATCTTATTTAATAAACTTATAGAAACTTTATATATATTGTTGAAGCTTTCAATAAAATGACAAATCTCAAAAGCATAATTACATAATATTTAGCATTATAGCTTAAATCTTATCTAACTTTTTTTTATCGGATAAAGTTATTTTTAATTTTTGTACAAATAAAGTTATTTAAAACTTTGAAACTAGCTTCAAATAAAAGGTTTTCTTTAAAAGGAAAAAGTAAAAATATTTAATAAACTACAGTCAAATAAAAGACTTTTTACAAAGGAATTTTTTTTTAATAAAGTGCGTGTGGACCTAGTCGCGCATTAAGCGACCAACTCAATAGTTGACTAATTAATTTTCGCTTACTGCCAAGTCAAGTTATTTAGCTTGTACCTCGTGCCTAGGCGATGTCTAAACACTTTTTTAAAACACTAGCATGTTTAGACATTCTCGTGAGGTATTTCAATATTAGATTGACATTTCATTAATTTTCATATATTAAGCCCTTGTTAGAGCCCCATTCTTTAAAAAAATATATATAATAATAAATAATAAAAAAAACATTTTTAAATAGCGATTTTATATTATTTCAATCACACAATTTTCAATAAAATAATATTACACGTAAATCCAAATCTTTTCTTATTTTTTAATCACACATTTTTCATCAATACACTATTTAGAAATATTTTTTTATGAAAAGAATGGGGCTCAAACAAGGGCTAAACAAACCTGTCATTTTAAATAAAA